TGACCTTGGATTACATTGCTGGACTAAGTGATTGATGTTGGATTGCAGCAATGGATATTTTTTTGTTTTTTTTTAATAAAAGAATTGTCAAAAACAATTAAAATAATTTTTCAAAAGTCTTGTCTGTTTATTTATCTTTTTATTTAACCCGTTAGTGAATGAGTAGGGGTACAACTACCCCTTACTCATTCACATTCAATGGGGGGACGGCATCTGGATGCCCCCTTTATGAAAGGGGGTACCCAGATGCAGATGAGCCCTCCTGCCCGCAGACCCCCACAACCACCAGGCCGGGGTTGTGGGGAAGAGGCTCTTGTCTTTATTGGCATGGAGAAAAGGTGTTTTTCCAGGTGGTCCCCCCTGGAAAAGCACCTTCTCAATGCCGAGGAATGTGGCTTGATATGGCGCAGGGAGGGGGGCACACCGCTTCGGTAGACCGTTGTCCCCGCTTCGGCTCAGTCGAACTGAAGCATATGCGTTCTGCTCAGTCAAGCCGAAGCATGTGTCTTCGGCTAGGGTGAGTGCTTCAGTTGCTGTACAGGCTATTCACAATAGCCCATACAGCAACTGAAGCACTTCCCACAGCCGAAACGAGCATAAGGATTAAGCGAAGGTTCGGTTTAATCCCTCGGCTCCTTTGTGAATAATAGTGTTCTTGGGTGATGCATGTCTTGTCTCTAATGAGAGAAGCTTACCTCCTTTCATGGATGTTTTTCTGATGTGCTTAACTCTCATCACTGAATTATTACTTATCGAACTGTATTTTTTGTATTCACATGTGGATAGTGCAAATGTATTTATAACACAATATAAGGACTTTTTGTGTATTTTAATATAGAAGTGGTTTGATCACAAATTGATATCTATCCCGGTGTGTCATATACAAGTGTGTGTTTATAGACACATACTGGGAAGAGTTATGCACCTTTAATTATTGCACAATATATATATAAAGGGGGGTATATATATATTAGGGTTGCAGAAATTAACGATTAATTCCTCGATTAATTGTACATTTTTTTGATCGATTAAAATCTTTTTGATCGTTACTCACCTCTCCGCCAGCTTCTGGGTCTTCCAGGATGTCTGCGACGTCACTGGACTCCTCCCCCTTCCCCGAGTGGCTCCGTAGGCTAACGAAGGGAAGGGGGGAGGAGTCCGGTGATGTCCTTCTATAGTGCAGTGCATGCTGTGCTGGTTCTCCTGCTGTCACGGATCTCTCCACCATTGAAGACGCCGCTCTCAGTCTCCAGCTCAACCCCTCCTGCATCGTGGGTTTCCGTCTCACTCTGCTTACATCCAGAAACCACAAGTAGCCTAGGTCGTCTGACCCTACCTTCAGTCCCGTTACAAACGTTATCCTGATCGTTATAACTAGAGGATGCGGATTATATAATTATCTGATATTGGCATAGTCTTTTATAGTGTTACACAGGGATAAGATATTTCTAAGGTCTAAAGTCTCCTTTCTCTGCACGGTGGTTTCTTCCTTCCTTTTTAACCAGGACATTGTCCTTCCCTCCTTATGTCCTGCTATGGCATGTCAAGGAAATTGTTCTACACTGTCTGGATGTGGTTCATGCTGTGGGAGTCTACCTCTGTGCTACAGATTCCTTTCGGCAATTGGATTCCCTGTTCGTCCTTCCAGAAGGTTCCCATTAGGGGCTTCCTTGCTAGCTGGCTTTTCAGCATCAAGCATCTATTTCCCAAATATGCAGGGCCGGTGCAAGGATTTTGGCCTACACAGGTGAAGGTGGATTTTTGCCCCCCCTCCCCTTAGTTGGCCGCCTATATATCCTTGCGCTAGTTTATTTAATTTTATTTTTTTAAACTTTTTTTTTTACTTCATTGCTGGGAGCAATAGTCAGCCTGCTATTGGATATTTCAAATTGCAATAGCCAATAACAGGCTAGCTACTGCTCCCGCCCACTGCCTGCTGTCAATCAGCAGAGGAGGGACCTGAAGTTTTCCCTCAGGTCCACCTCTGTTGATTGACAGCAGCCTGTTACTGGCTACTGCAATTTGAAAGAGCCAATAGCAGGCTGGCTGTGGTCAGCTGCTGGAATAAAGACGATCGTGCGGCTGTCAGCAGGCGAGGAGCACAGATGCCGCGGAGAGGTGAGTAGATTGCAGGGGGGGAGGTCACAGACTGTCACAGGGTTCTCCTTACAGGCTGTAATCGGCAATCTGTCCCCACTGACACAGATTGCTGCAGCCGATTACATCCTGTAGGGAGAGACCGACAGTCTGTGAGGCTGCAGCGTGGAGAACCTCTGTCCCAGCAGATAAATGTGTGATAACCATCCCGGACACAGT